GAGGGGGGGTGGCCCCCAGCTTTGCCCCGGGCCCCCGCCGTGATGCCGCTGGGTGCCGGGGGTGCTGCCGAGCTCCCCAGCCGTGCTCCTGCAGCCTCTGCCCTGTCCCAGGGAAGGGCCGTTGCCCCCGGTGCCTGCCGTTAGTGGCTCTGGCTCTGGAAGAGGAGCTGTTGACAAGCTGCCCCAGAGCAGCACTTGCCGGTGGCCATAGCTGGGCAAAGCCTCCGCCTTCCTGGGCCTGCGCACAGCTCTTCCCGAGCCACCATGCCTCTGCCTCTGCGGGATGGAGGAAATACATGTATTAGGTGAGAGAACAGGCTTTCAGTGTTAGCAGTTTATTGTTGCTGAGGTTCAGTGGTAAATAAAGGTCAGAAAACTGTGCAAGCAAACCGTTGGTCCCTACCCAGGCCCTGGCTGAGGTGCAGCCCCCGCTCAACGGCCACAGCAGGCACAGCGAGGCAGTGAGCTCTGCCCTCCTTCCCTCTGGAGAGGCAGTCACCTCTGGCGAGGGTGGTGCGAGGGACAGGACTCTGTGAAACCAGCCCTGGTCCTTGGCAGCTATGCTGGCAGTCCTGGGGGGCTAAGGAGCAGGGTGGCTCAGCCCTCAGCCCAGTGAAGGCAAGGGCGGCCTGGAGGCGATGGGGCATGGGTGTCTGTATCCGAGGGTGAACGTGCCTTTCCTCTCCTAGGAAAGACCCTCCTACCTTTTTCCCCAAAACAATTTTTTTCCTGGTGTGGTCTGTGTTTCTGGTACCTCAGAAACTCTTGCTTTAGAGTAGCCTTGTTCTTGGCAAAAGCAGACCAGCTGTCCAGGGATGAGAAATGTACAAAACCGTGTAATTTATTTACCTTGGTAACATCTGTAAGGGACTACTAGCACTAAACAACTCTTTTTTTCCTGGTCTCTTTTATGGCAATACATATTTATCTATACTTGGCAGTAGTGTGATTTATAGCCATTGTAGTCATTCTCCCGAGCATTATCCTGACAGACAATAGTTCCTGTTTCTAACAAGCAAGGTTAAATGACTGTAAAAGCAGCTATTTGACTTTATAGTACAAACTGAGATTTACCATGAAGTAACTAAGCTTCTGCCAAGCAAAGCCAAAATCACGTAAATACTGTGTTACTGTTTCAAAGTATTATAACACTCGATTACATTTACTCAGCATGGGAATTTCTTCAACAGTTGTGTTTTAGAACAAATGTAGTAAATCTGTTTATTGTTTGTTTTGTTTTCCTTTTGAATTGTAACATTCTTACACATATGTGAGTTTTAGTTGGCAACCGCTCATCATTCAGGGGGAAAAATGAAAAGAAATGCAAGCGTTATTGCTTATGATTACAAGCCAAAACTAACAGCCCTGCTTTGGGCTTGGTTGTTGCTGGATCTGGCTCTAGGCACAGCTCTCTTCCTGGCCCACCATTTCCATTTAGCCATGTCCTGGTGGCTCCTCAGCACTACGTGACCCAGGATACTTGGGTGTCAGTACACAGAAGTTGCCTACAGATCAGACTTGTGTGCTGCAGAGTAGGCAATGCCCCCAACTTTTAGGTGGCTCATTGCAGCCTCTGGTTACCCACTTGTTTCAGTCTTTGCTCCAACAGCAGGGAATTTTCTGAGCCGTTCAAAAGGAGGAACATCCCTCACTCAGTGACTTGAGTAATTGATTTAATTAATTTGAAACTGTCACTGGTTAAACTGATAATCAAGAAGCCAATTACCTGTAAATGGTCATAAATACAAATCAGCTCCAACAAAAGTGTTTCTAAAAGAAAGAAACCTGGATTCTTTTCTGATATCTCAGAGCTTTCAAGTTGAGTTGTAAATATTCCTATTTTCTTTTAAAAAAATAAAGACACTATGGTGGAACATTTTCTTGTTCAGAGTAGTAAAATTGTGCATTTATTTCTGAAATTGTGTTTAGAATTGTAACCTTTTCAATGTGTTATGACCTGTAAGACATAAATCTTAGGGCATGATGAAGTTTATTTAGGATTAATCCTTATTCATTTATGTAGCTGAAATCCTCAAGCAGCCCCAGGTTTTTAAATCAGAACATTTCCATTGCTGTGTTGCAAGATGGGCTCGTGTACACATTACAAGTCTTATTCTATGAATGTTGTCTTTTATTGTGTAAACATTTCTATTTGTAAGAGGTAATGTAAAACTTGTTCATACCAAAACATAGCTTTATTTTTTATTGCAATTAATTCTAAAGCATTTTGCAAACGCAAAAATGTTCATTAAATAAAAGCATTTAAATTATCATTTTAATAATAATTTAAAGTTCATTAAACTAGATGGATTTTTTTCAGGTTTACAAAACAAATCAATTTTAAAAATGTGTTCAGAATGCGTGTCTAGTCCTGTATACTTCATGACATGAAAGCATTGCATGAGTACAGCAAACAAATCAATGATGTATGATGGCTTGTCTATGGCTAAGTACTTAATTGAATTGGATCATTACCCATTCATACAGTATTTTCTTAACTTTTAAAATTCTGATCTGAGGGTGGTGAATAGGTTTTTGTTCCTGTATTAAAGATGGAGAGTCAACAATTTGATTAATCATGTAGTTTCAAGCACAAGTATTTCTGAGCATATCCTTTAAAGAACGTACCTTGATGTTTTGGGTTTTTGGTTGGTTTTTTTTTTTTTTTAAATTCCATGTGTATATAGATGTGTTTGTTTCCTTTCCATGGAAGTTATTCAGAAGGGCTTGAGAGTAGATGGTATATTAAGGTACTAATACATTAAAGTCCATCTCATCCCATATCTCCAGTTTCAATCTGTACACATTCCAAGTTGCTAACCCCCCAGTTTTGTTTCCAGCTTCACTGTCTGCTATAAGCATAGGCTTGTAGAACCTTGAGTAGGTGTTTACACCATTAGCAAAACTATTTAAGTTGCCAAAAAGAGGTGATTAGAGAACAAGAAGTAAGCACAATGAGGGCCAAATTCTGCTGCCACTTATTCTATTAAAGGATGAATTGTTTTACTAGTTAGCCCGTTGGCCAAAATGTTTAGAAGTAAAGATGGTCTGAGTAGTAGCACAGGTGGAAAATGCTAGTGCTGACAATGACAGGATACACAGACCCATAAGCATGGGAAGACACACGTTAATCATACATTTAAGCTGTAAAATCTTAGGGCTAACAACAACATATACAGCATTTTCAGATGTAACTTTCAGGTTGATAATTTAATTAAACACTATTTTTAGGTATCTTCTGACACAGAATAAATGAGCAAAGTGAATAAGCACCTGAACAAAATGAAGAGAGGATCTTTCTTCTTTTACCATATGATCTTTACTGCCAGCAGTGAATACATCAGATGTATTTACATTGTGGCTGTGCAAGAGGGTGTTTATGTATATGACATATGCTGCTCTGCACCCTTGAAACCTGCCAACTGGATTCTCTCTCTCAGTACCACGTGCATTTCTGTTGATTTTAAAAATATGCAATGCTGCAGGAATGAGCAAGGTTTAAGAGTCTAGATAGATCCATGGACGTATGGACAGACAGATGGATTAAGGCAGACTTTGTCACTTTGTCCCTAAAAATCCTTTGTGATACTTTTTTTTTTTTGTACACAGTGACACTAAGGTGTCAGCTCAGATAATTTCCCTTAACTTAGTAATGTTTTATGGATTTACATGAAGTTTTTACTTGAAAATGTGGAGGAGTGTGTGTGCACATTTTGCAGAAATGTACTGGTGCTGGTAATAGAAACCATTTTCATTCTATTTTGAAAAACATTGTGAAGGTATAAATTATGTTTGAACTGGACAGAGATGATGATGTGGCATGTGACTGAAAATATATATTTTTTAATAGATGATTCAGCCGCAGAGAGTTTTAATGGCAATGAGACCGTGGGACACAGTTCCAATGCTTCAGGGGGAACACACTGCAGGGAGATGGCAGAAACCAACAGTAATGGCAAAACAAATCTGGAGCAGGATGAGCAGCCTCTGAACCTGAGTGACAGTCCCCTCTCTGCTCAGCTGACTTCAGAATACAGACTAGATGATCACAGCAGTAATGGAAAGAACAAATACAAGACTCTCCTAATTTCTGATCTCAAGATGGAACGGGAGGCAAGAGAAAATGGAAGCAAGGTAAGATGCTTCCACATGCTCCAGATATGAAGTGTGTAGCTTAGAAAAGGAAAACATCTTTGAGGCCAAACCAAAGGTTATTCCCAGATAAGCACTTATGCCAATGTGTCTAACTTTTGTCACATCATTACTTAAATGCCATACATAGATTTATATCCTCTGCTACACATATGCAATGTGTACATACATTATGTGTATTTGGATGTACTTGGGTTAATACACAAATATAGGCTGAAACACTGACAAAAAAACAGTGCAGTTCTCCATCAGACATGAATGTAATTGGTCTATTTATTGAGAATTGTCTACATTGCTCATTAAAAAAAAAAAAGGTATATATCAACACATACATAATGTGATACATATATGTATGTATACTGATACACATATATCTATGTATATTTATAGATGACCATCTCATTACATGTATTATGTATCTGTAGAATGAATCCCTATGAATGTTAAATGTGTACCCTCAACCAAATTACTGCATGTGAATTGCCAACATCTGAAAGGAACTGATTTCATTCCTTCCTGATTGTTTATGTTATGCAGGCACCTAACCTGAATTAAAACTGACAAGTTTGCTTTAAGAAGCTGTAATCCCCTGAGGGCCTTTCTCTGTAGGTTTTGTTATGTGGGTAAGAAGCAGCCACAGTGGTTATATTGTAGATGTAGACAGATCCTATAGATTAGGTAGGTAGCTTTCTAGGAGGGTGTTTGTCATGTGGACGGGTTGTCTGGAGGGTGAAGAAATGTCTTGTATAAAAAAAATTATCCATTGATCTTACTGGTGACAAGTTCCTGGTTTTTATCTGGTATCTCCCAACTGGATGACCACTTTTACAGCAGCAGTACTGTGTTAGTACTGGATCCAAATACTATTAATGCTAGTCACTAGCTTTCAGTAGCCCACTACAAAATGACCTGACAAAATAGATATACTTTGAATGGCCACATTTTTTGCAGGACTTTGAAATAGGAGTGATATGGAAAATGGCTTTTTCTAGTTATATGCAGAAAAGGATTGTACATGACTGATGTCTAGAGAACAATATTTATTTATGCTAAAGTTTTAACTCCTGCACTCATTGCTTTATTTATAGCTAAGCCAGGAATACAGCCTGATGCTACATGTCTAATTTTAATCAGTCCCAACTCAAATGCAAAAAAAAAATTATCAAAAAGTGTTAAAAATCTGTTCATAATGAATTGTGATGACAATCAAAGCCATCTCATTCTTTGTTATTCTACAGATTTTAAGAGGCCTGAATCATCCCCCACATTGGTATATTCTTTCATCACTCACTGTCATCCTACACGCTGTATGCTGCCAACAAAATGCAGATTTATCTCCTCTTTTTATCCTAGTGAAACTCATGTTGGTGTCTGCAGTTCATTTAAGTATATGATTTGTTAGGTATGCAATAAAGACTGTTAAATACGTAGTGAAGACTCCAGGAAGAACATAGTACTGGGATAAACAAATGTTTCTCAGATATTTGTAAACTGAATGTAGAGTAAAATAATGGTTTTGTGGCCAATTTAATGTTTTACAGATTAATTCTCCCCCTACTTCTTAATTTTTGAAAGAATTACAGAATATATTTAGAAGGAACAAAACCTATCAGTGTGTTAGAATAGAATGGGACTGGACAGGAGATCAGTGTTTCATATACATATGTATACACACTCATGTAAGTCATTATTATACCTGAAGCCGTATCTTACCTGCTAGAGTCAGAGAATGTTTTACAAGCCCTAGACCTGATAAAGGAAGTCCTCTTGCCTTCCTCTGGTGATTCAGGTTACTGGACCTCTCCAGAGGAGTGTTCTGGCCATTACTGAGCTGATTGATTTTGAACGATGCAGAAAATCAAGCTCCTAGTTGGGTGCAGTATCCACTAGATGCACTTGAGCAAGGGTATCACAAGGAACTAATTCTCTACCAAAAAGCAAACAAAATAAATAGCAAGTAAGGTTAACAGAGTACTATAATTCACTAGGAACCACCTCTCGCGTATGCCTTTTTACCCAGAATACACCAAGGATGTGTGTTGTTTTTTGAAGTTGTCTAGGAATTCTCCCAGTGTTCTCACAGCATCTAACCTCCAGCCATTCACAGTTATACAGTTACAAGATGTGATCAGACCTGAGTAATGGCATCATTGGTAGTGATGGGTAAGCAAATATGTTTAGGGTAACCTATTATCGTGTTTTCACAGGAAAAGTCATCTGTTCACTGAATATCAAATGGATGTGTGAATTCTCAAAATGTGTTATTCTTACAGTATCTTTATGTGGCAAAGAATTGAGAAAAGTAACAGGAGAAGTTAGTGAAGAAAATACCTCATTTCTAATGAAGGGAAATATTTTTTTCTTATTAGAGTAGCATTACAGGAAGTAATATGTTATGCTTCCTCCAGCTTCTGCAATGGCCCTTTCAGCCTGCTGAAGATACTGCTTGCTTAAAATGGCCAGAGCTCTGTGAAACACAGAGGCAGTGGGCTGGGAAGATCTGTTGACTGACATGTTCCCTACCTGGTCTGTTTAATTCTCCTTTTTGGGTATTGCATCATATATGCTGTCTTAAATTTGAAGCCACAGTTTCTCTGGTCAACTTGCACCCATTCTGACTTGACATGAGATTTAAAGATGACTCATCAGAGCTGAATCTAACCTCAAAAAGCCAAAATATCACTTTTTCCGACTGCAAATTATCAATGCATCATACCTCCTTCATCAAATCACTGACTTTTTAAGGGAGTTTAATTTTTCTGGGAACAAGCAGTTCTGTAGATATTTTCCTGTGCAACACTTTACAAGAGCTATACTTTCTTCAGCTGTGTAGTAGTGGGCCATTTGACAATACAGTTCTGATTGATAGTTTTGTACATGCTGTAGAAATATAATCAGAAGAAGCAGTTGGGATAAAAGTGGTAGTTTTTCTATCGTATTATCTTTGTAAATCTTAAAGCTAATAGCTAGAAAGTGTTTTTTTTAATTATTGCTTTTAGTGGACAGTGTAACTTTACTCTTAGAATCCTTAGTGTCAGGCAGTGAGTGTGTGTGGTAAGCTCTTTGTGTAAAAAGATCACATACTGAGTGCAGTGAAGAGACTTGCCAAGTTGTAACATAACTTAAAAATCTGGTCCAAAATGTTTTACCATTACCTGAAAAAAGTTATGCAAGGAAGAAATGGGTTTTCATAGTCTTAGATATATGGACATAGTAAGTATGTTGTATGTAAATGTGAGTCTTTATAGATACACTTTTATTAAACTGATATTGGGGAACTGATCCTCTGGAATGATTCAGATGTTCACAGCAGCAGAACTTTCTAGAACCATTTAGGGCTAAACTGAACTCAGTGAAATCTTGTATAGCTGCAAAAATATATACATAGATTTACCTTAACAAGGCTGAGTCTTTGTACTACAAAAGACTTACAAAATACTCATGTATAAATGCTATGCAAATGTAGTAGTATGAATTCTAATAGTTAAGTGTACATATAAATTATTTTAGATCATTTTATACTTATGTGTGAGGCTGTTTGGTTTCTGTATGACCATAGTGAGGTCTCTGTAGCACTGAAATGTTTAATTTCTGATTCTTGTATTATTGCTTTTTTCTATATGGTATATTTTATTTTGAAAACTCATTCTATAACTTTTTCTCTTCCATATAATTTATTTCATAAAACAGAGCAAGCCCACTCCTTTTAAGTGATTTTGTCTCTTCTGCATTTGGGTAACGATATTATTGTGATACAGTATTGGAAAACAGGTTTTTGAGCTAACTGGTCATTGTACCGTCTGTATTACTTAAATGAAGAAATAGTTCATTATGTCTGTAGCACATTCCTAATATCCAGATCTTGTCTTTGGGATTTCCCAGATAGAAACACGTGCTACTGATCATGACTGCTTAGGAGATACATTAAAGTGAGGTAACAAGGAGGACACACAACATGTGTCCATTATGTCCAGATACCTACTAATCGAAACAGTTGGTTAATGTATTCTTTCTTTCTACCAGACAAAATTTCTGATAGAAAAATTGGACACACCCAGGCCCACTGGATATATGGTAGGCTAAGTTAATATGCATTATGTTTAGCTCAAGTGTGTAATTGGCTGCATGGAGAAGTGCACAAGATAAGTGATTTTTCTCTAAGCCTGAAAAAAAAGTGGTTTTAAAGGAGAGGACAGTAAATAATGATTGTTGCATACATTGATCTTCAATTATAATAGTGCGTTCTTATATGCATGTCATTATAGTCACAGTAGTTCCCAACAAGGCAGAGCTTTCATGTTGTTTCAAAAGGGAAGTTCTTACTTTCTGCCACTGGTTTCCAAAAGTGCACACGGACAGATACCATAGATACCTTATCTGAGGAGTGAGGTAGAGTTTCAATGTGTTTCTTTCTCACTCTCTCTCCTTGTTAAATATATGATTGTCCTTTAGTAAAAGATGAAAGGTCATTCCTCATATCCAGTGAACATCATTACATCTGACATTGTTTCTCTGAGGCATGTGAAGTCACTGTCTGTCTACTTCTCCTCTGTCTGTACTTCTGTTTGCAGGTTTGATTGGGGAAATACTCAGAATATAAAAGGAGCGTATAGCTTTTTCCAAAGAAGGTGGAATACTCAGGAGTTATGGTGGGCTTTTATATAGACTTATGGTAGATTACTGAGTCACTTGGGGATTAATCTGTTGAAAGTTTTCTTGATGAAACTTGAAACAGGTGTGCATCTACTTGAAGACAGTGTTGGAGACATTATTTCCTTTTTTAGAAAAAAGTAATCATATCTAAAACATTTCTGATTTCTTTTTTTTCTTTCATCATTGTTCATTATTTATATTCAAGTAGCATAGATAGGTTTCAGCTGATTTGGAGCATTGTCATATGGTGCTTATGATTTGGTTACCTCAAGCTCTAAGCAGGAGAGAAAGCTGGAAAAGATAAGATAGAAGTGTCTCCTCCTCTTTTG